CGCTATTAAAAGTGTTACAAAATTAATCCTAGACAAGGTTTGAAAAGATTTATAAAAAAAAAACATATTTATATAAACGTAATGACATATAATATTCTTTGATAATTTAAATAAAATGGGTTTATTTTAAACATTATAATTAATTTGTTACTTTATTCAATAAAGTGTTATAGTTTTTTATATATTTACATAGTAACTTATGTATTTAATAATTTTGTATTTTTATTATACATTTTTTTTACATTTTTAATTATATATTTAATAATTACATAGTTTATGTATATAATATATCTATGTAATAATTTATTAATTTAATAATTTACAAAGCATTTCGTATAGTATAGTATTTTAAAAAAATGTAATATAAATATATTTTCCAAATTTTAGTTTTTTTAGCTTTGATTTTTTTATTTATACAACTTTTTTGAACTTTTTCTTTTTGTTAGATCTTACATATTAACATTTTATTTTCAGCGTATTTCAGTTGTCAAAATATTGCGTAAAAATAAAATATTTTATGCGTGTTCACGATCGCATTTCTTTAATATTTATCGGACATGTCTGGCAGACTCAAGTCTTTATCGGACAAACTGTCCGATATATATATATATATATATATAATATATATATATATATATATATATATATATATATATATATATATATATATATATGTATATATATTAGGGTGCCTTTAACCCCCCTTTGGATAAAAAATCAGAACTCAGTTTTTTTCATGCGCATCTTTTGTGATTAGTTTAAGTCTAATTTAAGTTTAATTGTCCAATATTTAATTCATGCTCAAACTCATTTTCTATTTAACAGTTCCCTAATTATGTTTAAAAAATGTTCTTTGAAAATAGATTAACTTAGTAATCTAATGAAGGGAAATTTTATATAAATCTAGAAAAAGAAAAGATTATAAAAAAAGATAACAAAAAACTTATAGAAATTCATGTTTTTTATTTTTGATTTGAAAACTGTTGTTTTTCTGCAATAGGATCTAAATGGATTAACACAAAAAATTAAGAAGTTGTTAAGGAGTTTTAAGAACCATTGTTTCTATATTATACATACACACACAAATATATATATATATATATATATATATATACATATATATATATATATATATATATACATATATATATATATATATATATATATATATATATATATATATATATATATATATATATATATATATATATATATATATATATATAATATATATATATATATATATATATATATATATATATATACATATATATATATATATATATATATATATATATATATATATATATATATATATATAAAAGAAATAAATTCTTAGATGCCTTTTTTGCAATTCAAGTTTAAATTGTTCTGTTAAATATTTTAAGCAAAACAAACACTTAATAAATTCCAGAACAACCAAAAACTCGTTTATAAGTTCATTAATAAAGATCTAAAAATTATGATATAATCTGTTTTCTAAAAGATAATTCAGAAAAAATTATTTAAACTCTTTCTGATATAATTGATTTTCTGAACACTCAATGGTTGTTCTTGAAAGCACTGAATATTTTCGATCATTAAATAAAAGCGATGTTAAATATGAAAAATGAAAACTTAGGCTTCTCTATCACAGACATTTTTGAGGAACTCTATAATATATATAATTTAATAAATCTAAACTCTTATAAATCTTTTGGAATTAATGGCTTGTATACACTAACACTTAAGCTATGTGCTAAAATCTTTTAACTTTGGATTATTACCCTCTCTCCAGAAAAATTTTGATATTTTCTCATCTTTCCTAGCATTTCACCAGCATCTCACCATTATATTGAGGTAATTTATCTATATTTTGTATCTCACAACATTCTTATTTTGAAAATAAAATTATTATTTGAAAAAAATAAATAAATGGCAAACTACTACAATAAATTATGTCTGTTTTGGTATGCAGATTACATTGTGTTACATTTAACAATAACTCTGATTGAGTTATTTTCAGCAGTGATCATCCAGGTCATGTTTTAAAAAACACTGCAAAACAAATTTATTTTTCTTATGTTTGTCCTAATTAGCATTTAGGCTAATGGCTTTCTTAGTTTTTTTGAAATTTTTTTTTGTATGGCTGATGACTGAAAAAGTTTTGGTTCTCAGTAATATCCTTCAAGATTTTGTCCTCAACTGGATGCTCTCCACAAACAATTTTGCCTAACTTACTAAAACTTCTAAGATATTTGATGATACTAAACACTTTTCTAAAACTTCTAAAAAGATATTTGATGATACTTTTCTAAAACTTTTATACAGACTACATTTGTAGATCTACAGAATCATATATGATCCTGTAGAACAACAAATACTATGTTGCCTAAATTGAACATTCCAAAATGCTGTATTATCCAGTGTGGTTAAATCAATATTATTTACAGTTACTTTTTGAACAATAACCAGGTATAAATAAAAACCTAAGAAATTCTATTTAAGAACATTGTTTAAAAGTCATTTTACATCTAACCTCAAGTGGAGCACTATATATATATATATATATATATATATATATATATATATATATATATATATATATATATATATATATATATATATATATATATATATATATATATATATATATATATATATATATATATATATATATATATATATATATATATATATATGTATGTATATATATATATATATATATTCTGTCACTATATATATATATATATGTATATATATATATATATTCTGTCACTATATATATGTATATATATATATATATTCTTATGTCACTATATATATATATTTATATATATATATATATATATATATATATATATATATATATATATATATATACATATATATATGTATATATATATATATTTCTATATATATATATATATATATATATATTATATTATATATATCATATATATATATATATATATATATATATATATATATATATATATATATATATATATATATATATATATATATATATATATATATATATATATATATATATGTATATATATATATATATATATATATGTATATATATATATATATATATATATATATATATATATATATATATATATATATATATATATATATATATATATATATATATATATATATATATATATATATATATATTTCTATATATATATATATTTCAATCAGTTGATTCTAAATCATTACAAATTCTTTGTTTGCTAAAAATGAAATTCATTTACATTGATGAAAATATGGCTCTCAAATTATCTAAAATGTTTATAAGACCATACCATGAATACGCAGTCTCTGTTTGAGCTCCTTATTTAAGAACAGATGTATCTTTATTGAAACATCTTTGATACTGCAAAAAACTAAAAAAATTAAATCTACCATCAATTTAACTTCGGTACCTACAAAGCAATATAATCCAAATCTGTAAACTTTTTTATTGATAGAGGTAATGATATATCTTCCAAAACTTCTCCACTTGTTGTTGTTTGTCTGCTTTCCATGACACTACCAATTTTAACAGATCAACAAAATTCTGAAATGAATTTCCTGAGCAAATAACTTTATATATATATATATATATATATATATATATATATATATATATATATATATATATATATATATATATATATATATATATATATATATGTATATATATATATATATATATATTTATATATATGTAAATATATATATAAATATATATATATATATATATATATATATATATATATATATATATATATATATATATATATATATATATATATATATATATATATATATATATATATATATATATATATATATATATATATGTACTCTTGCTTAGTTGTTTTTAAATTTTATGAATTATATGTTGTTGATGTTTTTTTAAATTATTTAGAAGACCATAAATCATTTAAAAACTTAAATGAATTTTTTTTAATTGATAGATTGCCTGCCAAAACCAAAACACTAAAAAAGAAGTTTCTAGATATAGAGCACACTTTTTAGAAATTGACAATTGTTTCCCTCCATTTTGAAACTCCTAGCAATTAACTTTAACTATTAGTTGATAAAATAGCTAGTGTTGATTACGTTATTGTTGATAAAACTGTATACAAGAAAGTAAACTATTAATTTTATATATATATATATATATATATATATATATATATATATATATATATATATATATATATATATGTATATATATATATATATATATAATTTTGTACAAAATCACTTATAATTTTTTTTTCACTAATTCAATTTTATTTACCCCCTATGGCTTGTGAAAAAAATTAAAAAAATATACAAATGAATATGTTTACAAAAATAAAAAAAGTTTATGAATTTTAAATAAAATCTTAAAACCTTTCTTAATAAATATTTTGAAAAACTGTTATTATTTGATGTATAAAACGTTTTATTTAAAATGTCAGTAATTTAAAAAAAGATATTTATAATGATATCAAACTTTTTTAAGTTTTAATTTAAACCACTAAAAGTGGTTTAAAAAGATTATATTCTATTTTAAAATTATAAACTTATATCATTTTTTGAAAATTATTCAGTAGATTTTATTTTTGTATTATAAACATATAAAAGGAATAATAGTATATTTACTACAATTTATATTTATTGTGAACAATTTTAAAGTTTTTCCTAGAAAATTTTATTCAGAAGCAATTTATGCAATTATAAAATCAAACTAATTTGTTTAAAATTTAAAAATAATCATTTTATCTTTCTCTTTTGTTTTAAATTTCTATGCAAAGAACAAGTGACCCAATAAAAATGCAAAGATCTTTTAAACATCTTTTAATGCAACAACAATAGTTCTTATATTTCTTCTTGTAACCACTCAGGATAAAAAAAAATCTTTATACTTTTATATCTATCAAATATAAAAAATACTCTTATATCTATCGAATATTTTTTTGCCTGCTTTATTTTTATTTTATTTTTAACAAAAACTTTTGTGACTTCTTTAGCATATTTCTTTCCATATCAAGAAGAAATGCTTCTTAAAGTAGCTGATATTCAGAGTATCCACAATACTGTTAAGTGTCACCAATCCAATGAAGGTATAAACCTAAAAGCTTGTGTGATAGTTCAATTAATAGCTGTTCATAAAAGTTTAATTAACCAAAAAGATGTATTTAATGAAGTTGTGGAGATAATTAAAGATGCTATTAATGGGTATTTCTATTATTTTTTTTAATAGTAAGTCACAACCATGATGTTAAAGTCCTGTTTGTTAAACATTAAACTTTTATAGCCATGGGAAAGGCAGCTTAACTAGTAAAAGGACTCTAATATAAATCCTTCAATCTAATTTTGAGTAAGGATGAGTTTGTAAACATCAGATGGTAATTTTCCTTGTACTACCATTATAAAATTACTTATTCCTAATTTGCAAAACAGAATAATGCCAAAAAGGGCATCCGACTGAACTTTTCCATTATGTCATATTTACATTGAAAAATAGCATTATGAAAACACAACCAAATTGCTAAATTGTGAAACCATGGATGTGAAACCATGGATGTTAAAATTTTATAAAATGTTTACAAAAAAGTATTTTGATTTAACAAAATTATCAAATTATAATCATAAATTGTTATATATAACATTGTCATTATTATCATCAGGGGTGCGGAGTTGTAAAAAAAAGTACCAACTCCGACTCCAATTAATAAAGTTTTCAGAGTACGACTTCGATTCCAACTTCAACTCTGACTCCAAAGCTAAAATATAAAGTTTTTAAAAAATTCTTTGAATTCTTTAAAAAATATAATTGGATAATTAAAAAAAAATTTGATTTTACAAAATATATGAAAAATTCTTTGAAGGTTAAATATTTTGTACATGAACATGCAATATCAAGACGTTTTACTATTGGAGTCTCAGTTGCAATTTTGTTTAGCGACTCTGACTTACAAATGTTGTGACTCTAAATCCACGACTTTGACTTTGTAGCCCTGATTATAATACAATATTGTCTAATTAATATATAAAAATTATAAAGAAAATTAGTTATTTTTTATTCTTATTTTTTCAATGTTTGATTTCTATGCTTATAAAACATTTTAGGTTCTCAGATAATTGTAATATCCAAATAGAAGGATTGGTTGCTTTGAATCTTCTCCTTGCTGATTGTTCATATGGTAAATACGAGGCTATTATTATCAGTAATGTTCTTGAAATTTTATTGAATATTTTTGAGAATTCAGACTCTATGCTGTCTTCACTTGCAAAACTTTGTTTGAGCAGTTTGACTTTTGAGCAAAAAATCATAAACTTAGTTTTTCAACGTGCTTGTTTTTATGGTTTTAAGAAATGTTTTAGGCTACTGGTTGAATGGGGAGCAGATTTTAACTTTATTTCTAATGAGGGTAATGCTCTATGTATTGCTGTTATGAACAATCATATTAAAATTGTTGAGTATTTGCTAGCTTTAAAACCATCTGATATTTCTGAAGCTCTTCATTGTGCACTCGAAAAGAATTTACATGACATTGTAGGCATATTGTTATGCTATATTGGTTATGAAGAAGTTAATAGGGCTATAACATGGAGTGCATTAAACATTTCTTATCTGAGGGAAGAGTATTTCCTTCCCTCGATACTACAAAGTAGAAAGAATACAAGATCTGATTCTGTATTTTTTAATATAGATTTAAAGAAGGAATCAGAGTTTTCATTGTTGTGTAAAAATAAAAAAATTTTAAAAGATAGAAAAATTACTAGAAGCGTCAAGTTTTTAGCTGTTTCAAGACTTCCGTTCAGTGAATTAGATCCTCGAAATTTAAACTATTCATCTGAAAATTTTAAGTTTGATTTTGTTAAATATTGTGATGATCATACTAATTTGAAAAAACCTTGTGTTATTTCAAACTCAACTCAAGTTCAAAAGAGTACATTAGTTCAAGGTCAATGTGATATGGATGAATGCATCTTAAACTTAGATATATCTAACAACCAAATAAATGATTTGGAAAATTTGGCAATTGGTATAAATTTGACATTAAATGACTTTTTTAACAATTTGGTGAAGTTAGATGTGAGTAATAATGAACTAAACGAATTATCAATAGGATTTTGTTCTTTATTGAACTCATTAAAGTCTTTAAGAGCTTCCAATAATAATTTAAAACAACTCCCATACAGTCTTTTAAGACTTCAAAAAATTGTAGAACTCGATGTTTCAGCAAATCATATTTCAACTATTGAACCAGAAATGATTCCCATTACTATATCAATTCAAAAACTAGACATAAGTAACAATCAGCTCACTAAATTTCCTGTATGTTTTCTGCACAAGTTTCCATTCCTTCAACACTTGTTTTTGTCAAAAAATAAAATTGCAGCCTTGCTAGTATCTGGAGATTTTGTTTCTTTAAAAACATTAACTTTAAGTTTTAACCAACTGACTAAATTACTGTCTCGTTCCATTGAATGTTTTGTTTCTTTAGAGAAACTAGATTTATCTCATAACTTTTTAAACGATTTACCAAATTACAATCCTCAAACTTTGCTCCAACTTTCAAATTTGAATTTGTCACACAATAGGCTTACAGCTAAAGGTCCTTTTTACCTACCCAAATTCATTTTAGACTTACCATCTCTGATTTGTCTTGATATCTCAAATAATTCCTTAACATGTCTCCCTGATTTGCATTACTGGTCATCTAAAAAAATTAGAGTGTTAAACTTTTCTAATAATGATATAACAGAATTACCTTTAAAGAAATATTCAAAATTATTTTGGCCAAAAATAACAAACTTAATTATTTCAAACAATAAAATCAAAGTTTTACCACCTTATATTGGAGAATTAAGTTCTTTATGCGAACTTGATGTTAGTAATAACAAGCATTTAAAAATTCTACCAGATGAAATTGGTAAACTAGACAAATTGTATAAGTTTCCATTAACTGGATTGAATTTACGCCATGGTGCTGCTGTTTTAAATGGATCCCCCAGAGATCTTGTTTTGTATTTTCGTTCAAAGCTGGAAAAATCAGTTCCATACCGATGCATAAAGTTAATGTTAGTAGGATTAGCTGGACGAGGAAAAACGTCTCTTATTTCACAGCTTTCAAAAACAGCTCACTCGCCAAACAAACTTGCTACTGTAGGCATTGAAGTAAGAAGCTTTGTTTTAAAACCACCTGGTTTGGCTTTTAACAGAACAAGTTCAAAACGTCCATCATTTTCAGTGAATGCCTGGGATTTTGCTGGCCAAGAGGATTTTTACAGCACACATCGATATTTTCTTAGTTCTCGAGCTTTATACTTAGCAGTTTATAACGCAAGTAAAGGTGAAGAAGAACTGAAAAAGCTCACTCCTTGGTTATTAAATATACAAATTGTAGCTCCTAACTCCAAAGTTATTTTAGTAGGAACACACGCTGATTTGTGTACACAAGAAAGTTTGCAATCTCTAAATGCATTTACTAAATATTTTTTGCATAGTTCTGGATTTCCAACGTTTCATGCAACTTCGATTGTTGACTGCACAAAAGAAAATAATACAGTTGTACTTCTCAGAAAAGAAATCTATAAATGTATAAGCAAGTTTATGTTTGAGGGAAAACCTATTTTAGAAAAGATAGTTCCTCAAAGCTATGTTAAACTTGAAAACTTTATATTTGACAAGGCTAAAACAATGCACAACTCTGGGGAACTCCCTATATTCAAAAAAAATCATTTGCACCAGCATTCAATTGATCATGGATTACAACTAGAAACTGATGAATTCAACAGAGCCTTGATGTTTCTGACTGAAACAGGTGAGATTATATAAAATTTAAGTTTAAATTGATCTTTGTTGTGTGAATGACTAACTTATTTTATAAATGCAAGCTTTACATTCTTTAGGGTCAATACTAAACTTTAAAGATCCAGTTTATGATTTAAAGAACTATATTTTTATTGATCCTCAATGGTTTTGTCAAATGATGGCTCGTATTGTCACTGTTAAGGAAATTAATCCTTATATTACACAAAGGGGCATCTTATCAAAGTCTGATGCATTCAAACTTTTTCCAGAACCCTGTTTTAATCAAAATTTTCTTGAACTATTTTTCCGGTATTTTTTAAAAATTTTAGTTTAGGTATTAAATTAATGTTTTTATATTTATTAACATAATATTTTTGACTCATTAGGTTGTTGCAGCGATTCGAAGTTTTGTTACCAATATCAGAAGACAAGTATTTAGTGACATCAAAATTACAAAGTTTTTCTCCACAACATCTGAGAGCAGCTAAATTAGGTTATTTTGAAGATCCAAATATTATAACCAGAAGATATGATTTCCCACATATTCCTATTGGATTTTGGCCACGATTAGTTGCACGTATCCTCTCATTTCCTGAGCTTACTCGAGGTGTACGGCTAGAGGTAAACTTTCTAAGAGTTTCTAAATTTGTGAAAAGCTCTTATAAGATATGTTGATTTAAGACAAGTTTTTTTTTGGTAAATCTAAGATGGAACCAACCTCAAATGTTTTTATAATATACATATATATATATATATATATGTATATATATATATATATATATATATGTATATATATATATATATATATATATTTATACATATACATATATATATATATATATATATATATATATATATATATATATATATATATATATATATATAAAATATATATATATATATATATATATATATATACATATATATATATATATGTATATATATGTATATATATGTATATATATATATATATATATATATATATATATATATATATATATATATATATGTATATATATATATATATATACATATATATATATGTATATATATGTATATATATATATATATATATATATATATATATATATATATATATATATATATATATATATATATATATATATATATATATATACATATATATATATATACATACATATATACATATATATATATATATTTTTATATAGATTTCTAAATGCAGGCACGAAAATAAGTTTCTCCTAAAAAACTATAAAAATAAGTGAGCTCAAATAATAGTTACATTAACTCCCCTTTGAAAAAAATATATTATTCTTTAAAAAAGCTTAAGTAATCATTTCTAAAGAATTCTTTTTACAATAGTGTCAGCAAATTACACAAATGTGTGAAAAATTGCAGTAGTTAAGACATGTAACTTCCTGTAATTTAATTTTTGGTATAAATTAAAGTTTTATTAATTTATACCAAATTATTTATTAAATTTTTATTAATTTATACCAATTATTTATTAAATCATTTATTTCTGATGAGTCTTTATTGATGAAACACAGTGTATATATATATATATATATATATATATATATATATATATATATATATATATATATATATATATATATATATATATATATATATATATATATATATATATATATATATATATATATATATACTCTTGCATGGTAGTTAAAAAGAGTTTCCCATAAACTGTAGTTTTAAAGAGCGCGTTTATAAACCAGACCAGAAAAAGTTTAAAAACTTAATTTTTTTTTTTTTTATAAATGATAGACTGCCTGCCCAAACCAAACCCTCATGTAGCAGCACTCCCTTGCCAGTCAGGCTATTTGTCAGTCTTTGTAGCAGCACTCTCTTGCGAGTCAGGCTATTTGTCAGTCGATGTAGCAGCACTCGCTTGCGAGTCAGGCTATTTGTCAGTCGATGTAGCAGCACTCCGTTGCGAGTCAGGCTATTTGTCAGTCGATGTAGCAGCACTCCCTTGCAAGTCAGGCTATGAGATAGTCGATGTAGCAACGTTTACGCATGTTTTAAAAATGGTTTTTAATAAAACAAAAACAAAAACCTTATTAATTAAAAAAAACTTTCTAGTCGTTATTGTTGCGGTTTTTTAAAAAATTTTTAAAAAACAATAAAATTTAATGTACTTCTGCATTAATTTAATTGCTTTGACATTTCGCCGACAATCAAATACAGCTTAAGAGACGAGGTAATTAAAATTGTAGTCGAAAAAGACTTTTTTTACATTAAAACGCTCTTTCGACTACACTACAAGGATATATATATATATATATATATATATATATATATATATATATATATATATATATATATATATATATATATATATACATATATATATATATACATATATATATATATATATATATATATATATGTATATATATATAAATATATATATATATATATATGTATATATATATATATATATATATATATATATATATATATATATATATATATATATATTTTTTTTTTTTTTTTTTTTTTTTTTTTTAATTTTATTTCACCTCCTCAAGGCCGAGAAGGCCACTACAGACGAGGAGGCTACTTATTTAAGGTTATAACCCTCTCTCAACTCTATAACTCCGAAACACGAACCTTGACGAGCAAGGCCGCTGCGCCGAGAAACGAGTTGAGCGCGGTACTACCAGGGACGTGGTGGGGATCGAACTCGGAACCACTCGTTTATGAAGCGAGCGCTCTACCACTACACCACTACCGCATCATATATATATATATATATATATATATATATATATATATATATATATATATAGCTGATTGTTTGTTAAAGTATATAGCTTATATATAGCTGATCAGTTTGTTAAAGTTATATATATTACCTGATTGTAACAGTTTGTTAAAGTTACCCAAACCAAGAGAAACAAAGGGAGAGAAAAGAAGTCAACATTGTCAAAAAAACTTTCAAAAAAATTGTTAATGTATATTTGTTAAATTGAAATTGTCGAAGTTCAAAGTTTGGTGTTATACTAATGTGTCAAGAGAAATTTAATGCTCTGATTGAAAATAAATGGTTAAATCATTTTGAAAACACTTTCTGATGTACCATATGAAGAGGTTAAGGAAAAGCCAGGATTCCAGAAAAGTTGAATCCGAAAATAAAGGAGGTTTTATTATATTAATATGAACATTTGTTTTTATTTTATGATCATTAGTAAATCAGCAGTTAAATGAGAAGATTGAAAACTGTATTATTTAATTTTTATTCTAATTTACTACCAACAAGGCTGCAAGCAAGCACTGTTTTATTTGGAGTTACTAGAAAATAAAGTTAAAAACGAGCAAGAAACGGTTAACAGAAGACTTAGATCTTAAGTTTTAGAATGTAGAAGTCAAGAAAACATGGGAGAGAGTTCCTAAGGGTTGAAGTGCAGGAAAAAAACTAGTGGAATATAAGTTTTTAGAGCATGCAGGGGCAGAAACAGTAAAAGTTTATGTCTTTGCTGAATGACCAGTCAAGAGAGTATGAGTTTGTTTTTAGTTAATAGAACTATGGTTTATGTATTTGTAGAAAAATATGTAGAGAGATGCAACTTTTTGGCAATGATATCAAGGCTTAAGCTTGGCAGATAAAGCAGATCCAGCTATATTTACAGTGTTTTTTGACCTTATCAAAAAGAGAAAAATATGACAGCCTAAATATGACAGCAGTGTTCCATACAGGGACAAATAAGAGGTATCTTTAGAGTAGAATCAGGAGTAAGATAATGGTGAGCACAATATAGAGTACCAACCTTAGCAGATGCTAACTTTGCAGTTCATATAAGGTTTCCATTAGTGGCAAGTAGTGAATAATGATCCAAGAAGACTCAAAGAAGAGGTCTCAGTGAGAAGGTTGCCTTTCATTAATAAAGAAATGTTGACAAATGTTGTTTGCAGTAAACAACTGAGTTTTGTTGGAGTTAAATTTCCACTGCAACTCCAATCTGTTACAGAAGTATTTTTTGAAGGTTTTTTGTTATGACAGGAGTATAAAGTTGAGTTGTCAGCAAATGTAGCCACTTTGATTATTATTTTGGTTGTCAGGAAGGTCATTAATGAATATAAGAAAGAAAAAAAAAGAGGAAGAAGTTACTTTAATTGAAGGAGAGTGTTGGCCTTCAAAGATGACTTTAACAAAGCGATTAGAAAGAAGTGAATTAATCTCAAAAAATTTCCAAGGTAAACCATAAAGCAAGCTTATGGAGAAAAACAGCCTGCCAAACTTTATTGAAAGCTGTAAATACGTTAATAGCAACAGCCTTTGCTTTGCTGCCTCCATCTAATGCGCAATGGAACCTTTCACAGCAATTAGCCAATCAGCCATAAAATGAGAAGATTAATAACCATGTTAGTTGTCAGAAAGTTGTTTGAGTCAAGATATGATTTCAAAAATTTATTAATTAAGGAATCATAGTTCTTGCTAATAATAAAATAAAGACTGATTAAATGATAGTTAGAGGGGTTAAAATGTTTTCCAAAGTTTTTGAAAATTAGATCCACAGATGCCATTTTTCAGCAGGAAAGAAAACAAGATTTAGTCAAGCACTTATTAAATAACTTAAAGAGAATTGAAAAGAGTTTTAGAGAACACTTTTGTAAAACTATGACAGGAAGTTTGTCTGGACCACAAGTGGTTGAATAGTTTAATTGAGATATTTTTTGATTGTTGGAAGGTTGTTGTATGTTAGGAGACTTTTGAATAAAGACTCAAAAACTAATTGACACTAATTTGAGAATAGTTTGAGGGAAAGATGTATTTCAGAATAAGTCTTTTCAGAAATTTTTAAGATCACAAAAATATACTGTGACAGAAATGTTTTATGGACCACAAGCTGTTGAAAGGTCAAGTGAGACATGACTTTAGCTTCAGAAGCAGAACTAATTTAATTGTATGACAAAGAACTAACTTCTTTGTCAGTAATGTCAAAACGAATGTCAAATAAAAATTTCAGTTTTAGTTTTTAACTGTTTTTCTTCAATTTTTACAATTTCGCTAAAGATTATATATATGCCCATTACTCAAGCAAAATATATCAAGAAAAAACTATTAAAAAAATGAAATAAAAATAAAATTCTAATCCAATGTGTTCTTCTTAAAAAGTATATATTATTTCAAAAATTATGATATGGCATAATCATGATTCATTTTTGTGTGGAATTTTCTTATGTGGGATTATTATCATTTATCATGTATTTCATTTCAGATAGGTTCCAAGCTCTTAAGTGAATAATAAAAGTTATACAGTTTTTTATACACTACATAACATAGACAATGACAAAAACAATAATAAATGACGTTTATTTTACATGAATGTAGTAGTTTTCTGGGCTTGTCCTGATTCATAGTAACCTGGTATATTGATAAAAAGTCATTAGAGCAGTCATTTGTCCTGATCTTGAAACAAGTTATGTTTTTAAAAAAGAAAAAAAAATCAAAAAATGATTTTGTATTTAAAAAAAAAATTAAAGCAATAAAATTTTATTTAAAAAATTCAATAAAAAGCAATATAATTACAAATTTTAATGCATTACAATCCTTTCTACTTTAATTTAGTAAACTCAATACCGTAAAAATGGTTAATTACAAAATTGCTTTACCAAAAATTGAATAAATTATTTGTTTGAGTGAATACTCTACAGTTTTTTTAATAAATAATTTGCTGATAGGTTTTATTTTTTTTAAATTACTAAATTAAATTAACTAAAGACTATTTCTTGAGTTTATTTTGAAAGCAAGAAAAAGTCTTTGAAATTTGAACTTGAGATTTAGTTAGAATGCCAAAACATAAATGCTTTTTCAAAAAATATTTCTTCAAAGAATGGAATTAAAAAAAAAAAAGAAGATTGGCACCTTAAAAAAAGTTGAATGTTCAATATGTATATCATTTACAAGAACACATTGATCAGGCTAATATTAGGAACACTTGAAAGCATGAAACATATTTTAAAATTTGTATTAATGCTGATAAATACAAATTTTCTGTAAAGACTAAAAACATTCAAAAATTTACTATAGTATACTGAAATACTGAAATACAATACTGAAAGATTTGCCTCATTTAAGTAAGAATTGGCTTTTATTGCAACCTGCAGTGGAAAGAATACCTAAAGTTAATATTGGGTTAGAATTATTTTTTCTCTTAAAGAAAAATGCTCCAAAAACCTATTTAGCTTTTTTTAATGATCCCTTAGGTTAAACTTACCTATATTTATTTACAGCTAACTGCATGGTTTGAAAAAAGAATTAAATTATGAAGAGAAGCAAGGGATGTTGTGTTGAAGTTTATTTGAAATTGAAAGAGATGCAGACAGTTGTTAAAGAAAGGTGCAATTAATGTAAAAAATATAAAGTAAAAGATAAATAAATGATAAAATACTGCAGGTGTCAAATTTATGTCCACTCAAATTATATCTACCTGGTTGAATAATACAACCTTAGGATTTGGTCATGAATAGAATTTAGATTAACATTACATGTGCTTTTATTTAATGTTGGTATGTTTGAATAAATTTAAAAGTTGCTATCCATGCAGCTGTTGCAGTTAAATACTGTAGGTCTTAAAAATTTTTTTATATAAATATAAATGTATAAAAAGCAAGTATGTGGACTGTTTATTTTTAATTTTAGATCACTTAGTGCAGCAAATTTAGCATCAGCAACCCGACTTGTTTGCATTAGTAATCATATCACTCAATTTACATAGTCAATAAACACCTGAACAACTTCGTCATCAATATTTTGTGGAATATGTCAAATTTTAATTTTGAAATTGATGATTTTTAGACAGCTGTCTATGATTATCTCAATAATCCAAATACTTCTTGATCTTATAGATAAATGTAATCCTATGACTGAATGCAATTTTATAATAATTTAAAACTATATAAATTAAGAATTACATTATATAAGTTGTTTATATTTATGTATACCTTTTATAACATCAGACAAAATGAAATTTTTTTATTATTTATTTTAATAAATTTTTGCGACAGAAACTTGCACCAAAAACTAATTTGTTGAGCCCACTTGTTATACTTGATTCGTTTGTGGAATAAACAAAGCCTCAAATTTTGTGTCAGACTGTTGCAAAATTTTTGCCTTTTTTTTGTCTTATCAACATTTTTCTGGATGGCAATCAAGGGGTTTAATTTATATTGAGTGTTTGTGGGAGTATATGGAAGGAAACATGATAATTTTTATAACATAAAAAACATAATCGTATTTTTATAAAGTTGCATATAAATTGCATATCACTTTTATCTTTAAATATCAACATGAATTCTTTTGATAAACTATAAATAGATTATCTCATGAACTGTTTTTATAATAAAAAGTTTGGCAACTGTTTTAGGCATATAGATCCTCGATCCTCGACTGTTTTAGGCATATAGATCCTTGTACCCGTAATAAAATTCCAATAGACTATGTATGCATATGGTTTTTTTTCATTCATTAAATAATTTTGCTTTATGTTTTTGATTGATTTTGAGTTTTTAAGTAGTTTCTAAATTTAACTTTTTTGAAAAATGTAAACACTCTGGCTAATATATATTAAACAATTATTTTGCACAAATTACACTGAGATATGATAAAGAACTTTAAAAGTGTTGCAGTTATCATAAATTAATTCAAAAAAGAAATGTGTATTTGTTGTTCTTAAATTGAATACTTTCTTTGTTTTTAAGTTTTTTTTTTTACTTTGTCAATATAAAATTCTATATTTTTACATAAATATTTCTAAAAAGATTAAGTAAACTCAATATTTAAATTCTTGTAAATTTTTAATAGCAGTGTTGCTAAAAATTTTTAAATCATAAAATATAAATTTTTATTTTTCTTTCATAAGTCTAGACTAGCTTCTTTGGTATTCCTAGGCTATCTACTGCATCAGAACCATAAAACCCTAGCCCAGTTAGCGTATAAAGCATTTTTCTTATTTACATATAACTATTATTAAAAGTTAGTAAATAAAATAATAGATAAAAAAACTTTGAAAAACCTCTTAATAATTGATTTAAAAAATAAGGCTTACATCAACTCACATTTAGTAAAAAATGTTTTGCAAACAGTTCTGCCCTATTCTTAGTTAGATTTAATGATACTATCCAAAAACCTCTGTAAAACCTTTAAAAGTCTAACTTTTAAGATCAATGAGATGTAATAATCTGAGAATAACAAGTTTATTTTCTATTTAGATTAAAAAAATATTTTATTAGTAGGATAATTAGTCTGATAAAAAAGATGAAAAATAGTTACAACTAATTATTGCAGCTACACAACAAGTTACAATTGGTTATTGCAGCTACACAACAAGAAGAAAACACTAAAAGGAGTGAGGTTTGATTTAAAATATTGAATGCTTCAATTTCTGTTGAAATCTAAAAAGTGACTGAGAAAATATAGGAGAGTGACAAAAGGCAAATTTTTCATTAAAGAGACATCTACAGACCATTAAACAAAAAAACATGAAAAGTATAGATATTATATAAATGTAGTTTTAAGAAGAACACTGATAATGGTAAGGTGAACTACAATAAGGTGAACTAGGTTTTATCTTATAGTTTCTGATGAAAGAGACCTGCTAGTTAAAATATATTTATTATTAGTATTATTGAGATGGAATCCAACCTGGATTTAGAGGACTGCTGATGCAGTCTGTTTTTTTATTTTTAGATTGTTATTTTATTTTTAGACATTTTATTGATGATTTTATTTTTTATCAGTTAGTGATTATAATTAATTATTTATTCTCTTTACTTGTATATTTACCTATAATTTGTAATTAATCTATATTTTAAAATAATTTAGAAACTAAGCCTAGAGATAGATTATTGGCATAATGGTGTTTTTCTGAATTGCCTACAATCATTTTGCCTGGTTACAGGTGATGACAAAAATTTAAACATCTTGGATGTTCAAAGCCAAAGATCTTTTGCAGGTTATCAACTTTTTGTAGGTGTAATTGATCTGATTGATGGCTTAGTTGATGAATGGTATCCTGGACTTACGGATATCTCTCAGGAAAGAATCGTAAAACAACTTGTTCCTTGCCACAATTGCAAAATTAATGAAAAACGATTTACTTTTGATTTGAATGTTTGCATAGCCTCTTCATACAAAGCAGATAGTATTATATGCCCTGAATGCGATCAGTTTTCTGATATTGGTTTTATTGCACCAGATGCTGTATTCGCTGATTTGGGTGATCTTGTTATTTCAGATTGGGACAATAAATTTTTGGATAAAAAATATAAACTTGGAACTGGTGCCTTTGCATCAGTATATAAAGTGAAGATCAATGGAACTTATTTTGCTGCAAAGGTATTTAGAAATAATTTCATTTTAATATAATTGTAAAAATTATAGATATAACTTTATGGCTTTAATATAGTTTAATGCAATATAATTTGTTGTTTACTATTTAGATATAGACTAGAACCCATTGCATGCCAGTCATAGTAGATCTATGTAAAAATATAAAATAAGTAATTAAACAATATTAAAAATAATTTAAATCATTTTTTAAATTTTAATTTAAGTTTTTTTTGAACTTCCGCTTTTGTAGTGTAAAGATGTGTTTTTTTTTCTACATAAGATTTAAATTTGAAATTAAAATTTGAAATTAAAAAATCTTAATTGTAGTTTACTACCATATTTATCATTGGTATATTATTTTTATATATTTTGATTGAAATTTATTTGGTGTCTTTACTTAACTATATTGACATTTTTCTTACTTTTTGTGCATTTATAATAATTATTATTATTTATATATTTTTGCAATAATACAATTTGGTATTTGATTTTTCTGTCATTGTTTTTCTAAATATTGTGAATTTATTTCTCTATAAGTTCTATTATTTTGTTGCATAAAGTTTATTTTTTTTTAATAAGTTCATTACAATTTTTTTATTTTTCATAACATTTTTTTTTAAACTAATTGATTATCTAACTCACCAACTCATTCAACCAAAAATTTTCTGTATTTGCGCTTTTGTATAACCATTAAATTTTATTTTAATAATTATTATGATGTAAAATTGTCCTTTCTATTCTTTAATCAATCTTAATTATTCCATTAATTATAAAAACTTATAAGTTGTCATAATCTTAATTATTCCACTAATTATAAAAACTTATAAGTTGTCATAATCTTAATTATTCCATTAATTATAAAAACTTATAAGTTGTCACAATCTTAATTATTCCATTAATTATAATAACTTATAGTTGTCATAATCTTAATTATTCCATATACTGTAATAACTTGTAAGTTTTACTTTATTACGTTTGTTACGATATCAATATTTATATATAATTATCATTATTTTAATATCATTAAAGACTATTCAAAAAATGCTTGACATTGAAGTAAAAAAATAGAATGCTGTTTTTGCTTAAGTTTGAGAGCTCTCTAACTTAAGATGAAATAAATGAGTTAAAACTTCAAGTTTCCAACTGATTAATTAATACCAATTAATACCAATTTTCCAACTGATTAATTAATACCAATTAATATCAATTAATTGGTATTAATACCAATTAATACCAATTCAATAGCTATTGAGCAACAATTCAATAGCTATTGAGCAACAACTAAAAAAGAAGAGGAAAAAAAGTATGATTATTTTTCGTGTTTGTAAAACAAATATAACCAACAAAGCAAATGATGATATTCAGCAAATTACTGAAATTCTTCATACTATAACTAAGGAAGAAATCAAACCAACTTACGTTGAAAGATTTAAATCTCAAACAGGTAAATTATCGAAAGAATTACCAATTATCTTAGTCCAATTATCGTAGAACTACCAGATAAGGCTGATTGAAATCCAGTATTAGATGCAGCAAAAAGTTTAAAAGGGAACTTTAAATTTGGAAATGTGTTCATCAATGCTAATCAATCTAAAGCAGAAAGATTATTAGATGGAATGAATTAAATAATTCTTTGAAAAATGATTCTCTCTTTTGATATGGGATCTGGGGAAATAAAGTTGTCAAACTTAAAGTATTACAGCAACAACAAAAGTAATGAGTTTAAATGTTTGTACACTAACGCCACATCTTTAGAAAACAAGCTGCTGGAATTTGAAGCTTCTATAAGAGTACATCAAAAATATATCATTACAGTGACAGAAACATGGTTTTCTAGCAAATTGGTATCAATTTTAGATGACTATTTGTTATATTAAAAAGATGGAAAAAGAAGTGGTGGCGTAGCTATCTAAATAAAGAAAGATTTTGTACAATATAAAGTGACATTTCTAAATATTGAACAAAATCTTCAAATAATTTGAGTAATGATAGTTGAATATGAAGAGAAAATGTCAACAAAGTAAATGGTTTGAAATTGGAAAATGAAAAATAGGATGCATATATTGCCCAGGAAATTCGATCTTATATAAACAATTAAATGATGCTATAAAAAATGTTAAAGTTGAAATTAATAATAAAGTATATAAAAGTTTGTTATTGAAAGGAGACCCTAAAATTACATCGTCAAACAATTTAAATAAAGATGTTAGAACAAGTGATAATGAACTCGATGAAGAATTTGCTTGTGCTGTAAATAAATCTTCATTGTACCAACACATTAATGATGAAATGTTCTTTAACTATAGTATTACGCCTATAAGTATTTTAGACTTATAATTGACCAATTAACCTAACAATGTATTTGAATTAATGCATTTGCCTCCTCTTGGCAACAGCAAACAAAGGCATTCTGTAAAAATATGGAAATCAGCCATTGACAATGAATTTACTAAAACTGAAAATAAAACATCAAACATATATTTTGACTATCATAATGGAAACTGTTATGAACTAAGAAGAGTGATTAAATGAAAATGAACTGGACAATGCATTTTAAGAATTTAACTGCAGACAAAATGTGTAATAAATTTTTATTAATTTACTCAAATATCATAGAATCTTATATACCACAAAAAACTAGAACTCATAATGCCATTAGATCTCGCTGGATCATACAAGAAATTAAGATTTAGTGCATATCAAAGGTCACTATGGTTAGATTTATATTCGAAAAACAATAGACAGGCTAAAATAAAATACAAAGCAGTGTGCAAAGACTTAAAGAGTAAAGTTCTACAAATAAAAATCTCATTTGAAAAGAATCTTGTAAGTAAATCAACACACAACTTAAAACTACTATTCAAATATATTAACAGCAAAAACAGTTTAACAAATACCATCCGAGTTTTTAAATCCAAAAATGAACTAATTGAAGAACCTAACCAAATAGTTAACACTATAAATGATCACTTTATATCAGTCTTAACCAGTGAGAATACCAATAGTTTACCGGTTCTAAAAAATTATATTTTGTCTTACCTTGTGAGGCAATAATATATAATACAACAACTGTGAAATTAATTAAAGAAAAACTTCTTTAGTTAAATGAAAGTTATAAATTTCCAGGACCAGACATGGTAAAATCAACAGTACTAAAACGATGAGCATCAGCCTTTGCTTTACTGCTCACTATGATTTTAGCGAGCTGTGATTTTAGCTCAAAACCGGAAGAGTACCAATTAAATAGAAGTTAGTAGAAAAAACCCCATTATTCAAAAAGGAGAACATTTTAATTGCTAGCAACTACAGACCAGTTTCATTAACCTCAACAGTCTCTAAAGTACTCAAAAGTATTATATCCGACACATTATATGAACATATGTCAAATAATGGTTTATTAAATAAACATCAACATGGTTTTGTAAATGGGAAATCTTGTTAAACAAATCTAATTAAAACAAAGGGCCTTTCAAGTAAATTGCTAGCAGAAAACATTTCAGTAGATATTTGTTATCTTGGCTTTACTAAAGCCTTTGACACGGTATCTCATGAGCAGTTATTAATCAAACTTAAGTCTTATCGAATATCAAGTGTCATATGCAACTGGATTAGCGACTTTTTAACTAATTGATACCAAAGAGTTATACAAGGTGATGAAGCATCAAACTGGGAAATGATAATAAACGGGGTTCTCCAAGGATTGGTAATTTCTTCAATCTTATTCATTTTATATATCAACAATTTACCAGAGATTTTATAACACTCTAAGCTCTTTGCAGATGACACCAAGCTAATCAGGTAAGTAGCTAGCTTAGAGAATAGTCAATTGCTTCAGAATAAAATTAGCCTGTGAATGGTCAGAGATCTGGCAATTACAATTTAACAGTAAAAAATGGTGTATTATCAGGGTTGGCATTAAAACCCTGTGTATTATGCACTTTATAACAAATAGCCTTCACTATATTTATAAACTAGGTGATAAAATACACTGTACAACAATTTTTAACTTTTTGAAAAAAACAAGAACCAAATTAGGTTATCTTTATTAATTCAGACGTGCTGATTCCAAATATGTAATCAGTTATGCTGTAGCACGTCACAATTTTTTGAAATAAAGATTTAAAGATGTAACGTAAGATGCATTTTTCTATACATATGAATAAGTGTATGAACATGTTTATTATCACTTGTAACACAAATTGTTTACTTGTATTTAATTGTATTTAGCCTGGCGTTTGAATGCTGCATCGGGTTCATCGCTGTGCAAATTCCAGCAGTAATCTGCAAGCATGGCGGGGCTCCACTTTCCCTTGTATCTGCTTTCCATTGTGGCAATACTCTAATGAAAGCGCTCGCCATTTTCATCATATACATTTCCATTAACAGAGAAGAAGGAAAGATGGGAATGAAGAAAGTGGAGCTTCAGCGACATGTTACAACCCAGTTGTTGATAGGATGCAATTAATCTGTCTACCAAATCAGCGTAATTTGGTGCAATATGTTTTCCAAGAAATCCCTGGCACACCTGTTTGAATGCATCCCATGCTGCAAGTTCATATTGATCCATTGTTACCGAAAACGTTTCATCCAGCATCAGTTCTCGTATTTGGGGCCCCACCAAAATGCCCTCTTTAATTTTGGCGTCACTGATTTTAGGAAATTTGGTCTGCAAATACTGAAATGCTGGTTTGTCGTGATATAACGCCTTTACAAACTGTTTGAAGATTCCAAGCTTGATGTGAAGATTGGGCAAGACAATCTTCTCTTTATCCACAAGAGGTTCATGAATGACGTTATGGGAACCAACCGCAAATGTTTCTCGTTGTGGCCAACATTTCCTCATATTATGTTCTGATCTCATCCGGCTATCCCATTTGCAGAGGAAACACATGTACTTAGTAAAACAAGCCTGCAATCCATTTAGTATAGCAACAACTTTCAAATCTGCACATATGGACCATCTGTGATCTCTGTATTTAATTCTGTCAAGAATAAGTGATATATTC